GCAAGAACTCACTTATCAATAGCTGGGATGTGAAATCCTCATTTCTGTATTGTTCTATCACTATAGTCCCCACTTCCCTATTGTTTGTCTATATAATCTCTGTCTGGTTCTGTGATTGTTTCTGTCTGCTGCATAATTAAGTTTGTTGGGTGTAAACCAATTAAGGTGGTGGGATATAATTGGTTAAATAATCGTTACAATATGTTAGGACTGGTTAGTTAAATTTCAGTAAAATGATTGGTTAATGTATAGCTAAGCAGAACTCAAGTTTTATTATATAGTCTGCAGTCAATCAGGAAGTAAGGGGGGGGAATTGGAATCAGGTTTCGCTAAGGTGGGGGAAATGGGAACAGGGACACAGGCAAGGCTCTGTGGTGTCAGAGCTGGGAAGGGGGACACTGAGCAAGGAAACTGGAATCATGCTTGCTGGAAGTTCACCCCAATAAACATCGAATTGTTTGCACCTTCGGACTTCGGGTATTGTTGCTCTCTGTTCATGTGAGAAGGACCAGGGAAGTGAGAGGATGAAGGAACAAGCCCCCTAACTGTCATGGGATAAGAGGGAAGGTCCTCGCATGGACTGGTAAAAGATCAGAAACAAAGGGTAGGAATAAATGGTCAGTTTTCAGAATGGAGAGCGGTAGTGGTGTCCCCCATGCGTCTGTACTAGGGTTGCCAACTGTCTAATCACACAAACCCAAACACTCTTACCCCGCCCCCTTCCCTGCCCATTCTCAGAGGCCCCGCCCTACTCACTCTCCCCCACCCTCACTCACTCACTTTCACCAGGCAGGGGGTTGGAATATGGGAGGGGGTGCGGGCTCTGGGCTGGGGCCAAGGGGTTCGGTGTGGGAGGGGGCTCTGGGCTGAGCCTGGGGCAGAGGGTTGGGGTGCAGGGTGCAAGCTCTAGGAGGGGGTTTGGGTGCTGGAAGGGGCTCAGGTTACAGGGAGAAGCTTTTACCCAAGATGGCATCAGGGGGAGGAGCTCTATGTCTAAAATAAGTATGACATCCGGGGAGGAGCTAGAAAGCTAGAAGCTGATTGGCTGAGAGGAGCTGATCTTGAAAGAGCAACCAGTATATAAGGCTGACAGCCGGCAGGCTGAGACTGTAGTGGGTTTTTGGGGTTTCTAGAAGAGCAGGAGTAGCGAGACACCTCAGCTACCTTGCCAGCAGCAATGGCCACTACATCACAGCTCGAAGAGACTGCAGCTGTGGAAGCAACACTCCAGAGATTAGACAGATCAGAAGGACCAAATTAGATGGTACAGAGGGAATTTGAACAGAAGTGTAAGTCTGATCTTTTCTACCTATTATTTAAGAGTGTATGGGTCTGTCTGTAAATAAAGCTGGATGCCTGCATCTTGAGTAAGATCTCCCCTACCTGTTTTGCAACTGCTTGGCCAGCACTTACAGGATGTTAAATGTTTAGTTTTAAGTGTTAATGTTAGTGTTAAAGTAAATGTTTTATTTTAGTCTGTGAAAAAGATGGTTTCTCATATGTGTATACAGAGACTACGTATGCCACAAGGTATTAAGTACGGGGTTAGATTGTAACAGACTAAAAGCCTTTGTGTATACGGGCTCTTTATATGCAAGTTACATTGAAACTACTGCATTTTCTGTATGTATTAGATATCTTATGCAGTCTGTGTCTTTTATTTTGTTGTGCCACTTTAACTATACAATCCTTTAAATGTAATTCTATTGCATTTTACTATGTTCTATATATTCTTTCTTGCTTTATTAAATACAATGTAACCACTTATTTTTTTTTTAAATAAAAAATTATTTTGTTTTCAAAGAATTACTGCTTGTGTGTCTATCCTTGAGCCGAAGGCTGTAGCCGTGTCCTTTCAGGGGTTAGCAAGACTAACGTGCTCTGGGGTGCCCTCAGTGGGTCACAGACAAGTTCCCTGGTAACCCCTGGCAATTCCTTTAGGGCAGGCCACAACCTTGTTACCCTTTGGTTAAATTAGACAAATTTGTAAGTAACATAATTGGCATCTAAATGTTAGCGTAACATATTTGGCGTCCCTGTATTAGTGGGCTTGAGGTGCTATTTTAAATCCTGAAGCTTGAAAGCTTTATTTCAATGTCCAGGAGGGTATAGCACCCCTTATGGGAGAAGAGGATGACTGACACCAAGCAATAATATTTTTTTCTCTCTTTTCTTTCCCCCCCTTTTTCTCTTTTCTGACAAATACACACATACACTCTCAATACACACAACTTCATTAAATACTCATACCCACTCGCATATCTGGCAGCCGTGTGCAGGTCCAAAAGGCAAGCAGGACCTGTCACTCAGGTGTGACCAGTGTTGTAATTCTACCCGGAATATTTTCATTACCTTGCCGGATTTGACATGCACATCTGGCAGCCTTTAGGCCTGGCTGGATTCAATGTTTGTACACATACACACACCAAATGTACACACATCTAGAAACCGGTTTCGTTTAAATAAAGAGCTCTAAAGATAAGTAACATCAAAGATGATTTTAAAACGTACCTTGTTAAAGGAATTACTGCTTAAACTGAGTCTTGATCCTAAAAGAATTAGGAAGCCTGGACAAAACATTTAAGGGCTGGTTGAAGGGTCAGTATAATACAGTAAATAATTCTGCAATGATAAAGGTAAAGGGAGAGTGTTCAGTGATCACAGCTACAGAAGGCGGGGGTGATCATAAGAACAGTTTTGGTTTTTATTTATTTATTTTCTGCTCCTGGAGCAATCATTGGCGGATCCCAAGGGAAGGGGAACCTGACTGAAAGGGAGGCAGGTTTTGGGGTCGGGCACCAAGGAGGAAGCCGAAGGCCTCAGAAGTCAGGCTTTATCCTTTAAGCTAAGTATAGGACCTCATTGCTAAGACCACTACAGTGTAAATACCTTACTCTCTCCTCTATGGCTCATGGCTGCTTCCTTAAAGCAGGAAATTCTAGACATTTTTACAAGTTTCAAGAACATTACAAAAGCACCAGAGACCATGTGACTCAACAGTAGGGCTATACAAAGAATACAGTACTTACGTTCAGAGAACATATTTTATTATTTAATAGAAGTTTTTGCTCCAATATACAAAATAGGGGACCTGTCATCCCAATTAACATTTACATAGTTACACAGAAATCATTTCCACCATTTACAAGTGAAGATTCTTCTCACACTCCCCATTGCAATTACAATCAAGAGGTAATCCTATAATGCTTTTTATATTGTTCAGTTACATTTTGTATTTCCTCTGCCTGTAGTTTCTGGTATTGATTTTATCAAGAATTTACTTACATTTTTCAGCTGCACTAGAAGTGAAATTAAATCCATCATTTGGAACCACAATCTCAAAAAACCCTATCCAAAATAAATCACCATTTTATAAAAATATGTCGCAGGAGTAAAGCAAAATATCCTGTGGCTACCAGTAAAACAAAAATGCTTTAAATTTTGTTACCGTATTACAATGTGTTTAGCAACTAAGCTTGGCTTTTAACTACATACATTTTTTAAAACTGTAAAATGACTGAGCAAACTTTTATCAGTTAACAAAAACTAATGTGACAATGGTTTTACAAAGCTGTACATTTAATGCAAGGAACTTCATCTTTCTGACATGTACTATGGTCCAACTGATTCACCCCTCACTCTTTTCCCACTGAAACCTAGAAAAACAGATTTAGGTTCTAAAATAATTTGGTATAAGCCCTTAAAAATATCCAATCCATTATATTTTTATGCCTCTCCCAAAATATTTGTTATGCTTTTCTTTGCATGCTGGTAGTTTAGCCAAGCTACATAATTTATAGAAAAGAATTCCAGCCAAGCCAAGGCTTCAGAAACTTTGCATTTATAAAAGCAATCTGTTATAATATGACAAGAATTTTCTTTCATATTTGTTAAATAGCCCAATTTACTTAGTGACCCTGTTCAAAATTTGTTCAACTGAATGAATAGGTGAAGTCTTTTCCTGAGTTAAAAATACAGGTAAGTAAATATATTAGTTATAGCAGCAGACATTCTTTTTAAAGGTTTCAACAATATCAATAAAATAACCTTAGAAAATTACAATAAAGTAAAAATCACCATCTGAAATGGGATGACAAGGACATCCAAGACCTGATAGCCATAATCTGAAATATGTATTCCATCATTTTCCAGAAATTACATTCAGCCACTGTCAGACAACAAACTGATGCATGGAAAAATATCAAATCACAACATTTCACATATTTCTTATTACATCTATTACTTGGTGGTGCTATTATTTAAATCTTAATGCTGTTTCATAAACCCAAAGCAAGGTAAAACTTTAATTTCAGAAAATTTCACCTCAAAGGACTTGAAAAAAATCTCAAAACACTGATTTCCCTTTACATTCCTAGATTATTTCATTTATCATCAACTTCATTTCATATTTGGAGAGCTTTTTGAAAGTCACCCAGGCTGTTGGGAGTCTGAATGGATCAATTTTCTGAGGAGGAAATGATATTTTGAAAACTGTTTATTTTGATCCGGGTTTTTCTAACAAATTATTTAGAGTATGGACCCTTAATGAATAAAGAACAGTAAGAATTGGGGTACACCACCACCATTTCATTACGATAAGCATTCTTACAATCATCATTCAGACAGCTACAGGAAACACTTTACAGTTTGGCTTTTTCATCAGAGTAAAAACAGATTCAAATTTTAATTTAATAATTAAACAATGTAAAACATTAACCCAGATACCAGTTCCTCCTGAATGAGAAAATACCCCTTCTGTATTACCAATTTTTTAAAAGATATTTTATGCATTTTATTTAGAATTTGTCTTTCCTAAAAAAACCCACTTAAATGGAATAAGTAAATCTAATTCAAATTAATATATAAAATTATGTTCAAGATTGGTTATACTCAAAGACAATACATAGGACCCTAGTAGTTATAGTAATTCATAAATAAAAATAAACTATTATTAATAACCCCATCTTTCTCCATAGGGAGATTAAAAGCCACAATTTTTACTGATTGTTCCCGACAGTATAGGTATATATTACTATAATGTAAGCTTCTTCAGAGAAGCAAAACATACTTGGCCTCCCTGACACTAGTTTATCTTTTCAGTTAATCTGTTACCGTCAAGAAGGCAACTGTGTTGTCCCAAGTATATTTCTTGTTTATATATGAAAGAACCCAGGAAAACAAACAAACAAACAAACAAACAAAAAAAAACCCCTGCCCACCATATTCTTTCAGAATTGAATACAGACAAATTACTGCACAAAGAATTCTCTGTCTTTTCAAATAAGAAATCAGTATAAAACACCAGATTTATATTGCTTCTATTGCACTGCCAGATTGTTGCAATTAGCCCTGAACCAAACCCCAATGAAATCAATGGGAGTCTCTCCATTGATTTTAAGGGGCTCTGACTCAGGACTTTAAAAAGAGAAAATGTGTCAACTGTTGGAAGGTTGCTCCTGCAAGAGTGGCTGGTATCTCTCTTTTCTCCTAGCAGTTGTAGTAGAATTGTGTAGTCAGCATGATACCTGAGCAAATAAAATGAACTTGATATGAAGGGTTTAAAAAAAAAAAAAATCAAAACTTTGCTTTGTTGTGTGCAAACTGCGCTACTGTCCCTGGAGCTCCCTGCATTCCTTTTTTTAAATCAGTGCTTGCTCCATTCCAACATAGCCAGAGAAGAAACGAGGCATAAAATCTCTCTTCACCACAGTTCCCATTCAATCCCGAGACTGATAGAAGAGAATGTAACCAGACTCAGAGTTCTTTGAAATGTCTGATGTCAACCCATAGAATTCTTCAATAGCTTGTGCATCTATTTTCTACAGAAAACAAAATACAAACACTAATTTTTAAAGGAAAAAAATATACTATGATAAATGTATATTCTATTAAATTACACTTTGTGAAACAGTGACAAAATATTTTGGTCTCATCTGTTAATTACCTTTCTCCAGATAACCTAGCTTATAGAAGAGTTAAGGCTTTTAAGGTTTTGTTTTGTTTTGAAATTCCAAATCTTCTTTCCTCCATAGCAGCCCATCTTGTGTCTAATTTAAGTAACTTGAACATCTAATACTAATAAATGGACTAACCATGAATACAAACATCTGATAGGTTCCCCACATAGAAAGGTGATTTATAATGATAATACCAAGATTTTTTTTTTTGATGAGGGGCCAAAACTCAGCATGGGCTATGCACATATAAGAACTTAGAATCAGCACTGAACTTATAAGTAGGACTAATCAGAATGTAATAAAGTAGACCAACTTAGACAGTGATGGGGGATGAGAATTAAGAGGAGAAAAGGTCAACTGGCTCTTTAAAAAATTATGAGCTACCAGGACCATGGACACTTAAATTGGATGAAGAGCCTCTAGTCTGTGATACAGAGCAGGATGCAAAGAGCTGCCAGATACTATCACCATCATGATGATTTTTGGGAAAACAGAAACTGAAGCCAAATTAAAGGCAATATGGCAAAAAGAACTGATTCAGAAAAAGCCACAGATATATTTCATACATCAGGAATGTGGAAATAAGCACTCTTTTCCTCAGATCAATTAGATATAATCTAATCTTTTGCCTCCACTGCTGTGATGACTAATTGGATCATTTCCATCTTGAAGCACCAAATAGAGCTACTTAAGATCAAGTACCAGCCAGACTTCTTTGGGAATGCAAGCTCCAGTAAATTCCTGAAAAACATTCTCGCTCAGGTTCTAGTGAGATAGATACCTTGATGTTTGAGCGGTTGCAAGGCTTGTCCTAGCACCATCCATTTTACTAGTGGGCGAGTGAATCTTTAACTCTGTGGCGGTATCTTAAAATCCACTGAGTATCCTGTCAGGACAACTGAGACCACCCATCAATCATCTTTGAAACCCCCCCCCTCCTCCCAAGGAAGACGTCTTCAGTAGCCTGATTGGTTCCAGCAACTGAAAGGGAAGACTGACCTCTTGGTATCTCAAGCAAAGTGTTCTTTTTCATTAAGCAGTTCTTGCATATTGTAGAGAAAAATATGTACTACTAATACACCTTATAGGTTCTAAATGAACTCTATGAACTCAAGGAAGAGACTTGGGCATCACTGTGGGCAGTTCAATTAAGACCTCTATTGAGTTTAGCTATGGTTAAAGAAAAAACAATCAAGATGATAGGGTGCATAAGGAGAAAAATGAAGTCATAAATCAATACAATGGCCTCATCTGAAATACTATATGCAATACTAGTTATACCATCTCAAAAAAAGGATATTGCAAAATTAGAGGAAGTTCAGAAGGCTGACAAGAATTATTTAGGTGCACAAGAAAACTCCTATAAGAGAGAAAAGACTGGGACAGTTTAACTTAGAAAAGACAGGAGACAAAATAAGAGGAGACATGATAGAAGCATAAACAACATAAGAATGGCCATATTGGGTCAGACCAATGGTCCATCTAGCACAATATCCTGTCTTCCGACAGTGGCCAATACCAGGTGCTCTGGGGGGAATGAACAGAACAGGCAATCATGAAGTGATTCATATCCTGTCATCCACTACCAGCTTCTGGCAATCAGAGGCTAGGGACACCATCCCTGCCCATCCTGGCTAATAGCCATTGATGGCCCTATCTCCATGAACAGATCTAATTCTTTTTTGAACCCCATTATAGTTTTGGCCTTCACAACATCCCCTGGGAACAAGTTCCACAGGTTGTGTGAAAAAGTACTTCCTTTTGTCTATTTAAACCTGCTGTCTAATAATTTCACTGGACGACTCCTGGTTCTTGTGTTATGTGAAGGAGTAAATACTTCCTTATTCACTTTTCTCCACACCATTCACAATTTTATAGACCTTTATCACATTCCCCTTTTAGTAGTCTCTTTTCCAAGCTGAAATGTCCCAGTCTTTTTAATCGCTTCTCCACAGAAGCTGATTTCTATCCTTAATTTTTGTTGTGTGAATAGAATAGAGAACGGATATTAGGAGCTTCTGTTGTCTCTGCCTCACAACGCAAGAATAAGGGACTATCCAATGAAACTAAAAGGTGGCAAAGTCAAAACTGATGAAAGAAAATACTTTTTCCACCCATTTAATTAGAGTATGGAACTCATTTACACAGGATGTTGTTGAGGCCAAGGATTTAGCAGGATTTAAAGAGTTTATATGGATAACAAGAATATCCAAAATTACTACAGTTAAAACTAATAAAAATTATTGGAAAGAACATAAAACCTCATACTTCAACAGTTAAACCAATCTCCAACTATTAGGAATTAGAATTAAACCTTCCTGAGGGACAAGTGACTCTATATCTGCTTACTATGGGATTTCTTGCATCTTTCTCTGAAGCATCTGGTGATGGCCACAGTCAAGGACAGGGTACTGGACTAGTTGGACCATGGCTCTGATCCAGTATGTCAATTCCTGTATCCCTAAAGGACTTGGAGTAATGCTTGTCCAAAAAGTCTCTTGCCCTTAAAGAGAGTAGTAGTAAGCATCCATTTTATCTACCGCTCTACCTGCCATGTCTTTTGCCACAGGATTATCCAGTGACATTAATGACCAGAAGAGAGGAGCAGGATGACCTTATCCAAAAAGGAATTGTAAAAGAAGTAGGAAAACAAGCAAAGATTCATGCAGGCCTTTATCATCTTCCTGGAACACACTGATATTTCAGCAGCTGAGGATTTGAAAACAAATGCCCAGGAACTTATAGTACAATGCTATGGCAGAGTCAGCTGATGACATGCACATGGTTTTCAAGTCGGACTCCAGTTTCCTGTCACACTACTATTTCTGGGACATTATGCTAGCCATTGGAAGGGCTTACTTCTTCACTGACAAGAAGAATGCTGTCAATATGCTTCCTAGCAGAATCAGTGCATTGCACTGGAAATTGTATTTCTTTTGAGAGTGCAGTGTCAGAATCTGACTTCTTCCATGATTCAATTTCCTTTGCTTTCCTTATGGAAAAGGCAACAGAAGGATTCACTTACGACTTAACATCTCTTCCTATGAGCCTTTTGATTCTAAGAATCACTCCACAGTAAATCCAAGACTGAAGACTCCACTTACACCAGTGTATTAAATTCTTGTGGCAAAAAAATTATGCTCTGGTACAGGGTTAGGGTTAGGAGTGTCTCTTTCTTTATATGAACTAGAGAGAGCCCTTTGGTGACATAACAGTAGAGAGAGAAATGGTCCCAAAAGCTTCACAAGTTGTTTTCACACAGGGCTTGGGAAAGGGGAGAGCAGCATCCTTCAAAGAACCCTCTTCCAAAAGCCTCCAATGAAGAAAGCTGTATGATCTCTATCATAAGTCAAGGTAGGGATTAGAGAAGACAGTGGGGAATCTTAGTCTCCTTAAAGAAAACTTGGACAAGCAGGCCCTACTACTACCAGGCACTAACAACCAGAGTAATGGAGTTTAGATCAAGGGGTATTGGGAGAGAAGAAAAACAAATAATGGAAGGATTGGCTGTCCCACCTGGCCTCGTCAAAGGTTTAGTTCAGCAGACTCACTACAGAGGGATATATGACCATACTTTCCAATGTTATGTGACCTCCACTTTGGCCCTGGCATCTCTCATATGGGAAGAGTGGTTTTGTTTGAGAGAGTTTTCCCTCCCTGTCAGGAAAAGGTGAAGGTCATAGGTGGCAAAAGCAGAAAAAGAGATCTGCCATTAATCATCATGCTTGATTCAGAGTTGCAGAGTCTCAGGTACTTCTCTGAAAGACTCTAATCTACCCGTGAGGTTGAGAGATATTACAGAGAAGACTGTCATGGAGGATAGGCACGAAAACTTAGCAAATTTTTCGGGCAGAGTTACCTCTATCTAAGCTATGACTATTAGCTCTCTCCCTAGCACAGATTTTTCTTCTTTTGGTAAAAAGCAATTCCTCTGGAAATTGATCCAAAAATATATACATTTTGAACAAACAGCTCTACTTTCTCCTCCTCCAATAAATAAACATGACTGTACTCAAAGAACAAGGACTGAATCTCTCTAGTTTAGGAGAGAAAGGAAATGTAGCTGAAGATATTTCTTATCTTCAAAGTATCAGCGCACCATTCCTTTTAATCTTTAAGTGATCATAAATGGGGTGTTGGGATGGGGAGAGACTTTTGTTTAGAAGAAGTAAAAACACCAGAGTTACAGCAACACTTACCTCTACAATATCATCATCAAAGAGCAACCAAAAATCATGACTCTTCACTATTGCAATATAATGTCCTCGATTAGGGCCACTGTATTAAAAAAAAAATTTACATTATGCATGTCTATTTTATTAGAGCTGCTTCCCCCCCCCCCCAAAAAAAAAAAACATTTAGTAAAAATTAAGCTGATTATTTGTATTTCTATTTGTATATTCATTCCCCTTTATGTTACCAAGGACATTTACATGAAAACAAGGCATTAGTCATCATGATGCCAAATATTATACTAAACAGAGGATTAAATGAGGAAGAAGTAGGACAAGCAGTGACAACATAAATGAGAGGCTGTTTCATGTGAAGGCTTTATTGACGGAACTAGGGACAAAAAAAATAGAACATTTTTTATTAAAAAAAGGGGGGGGGGCTTGAATAGGAAAAAAAGAAAAATCAAACTTTCCACACCAAATTGGATTCTGGGTGAGACCAATACCAAGAAATGTAACTTTGAAGAATATTCTAAACCCATGAAAATAGGGGGACTTGGAGGAGTTGTTCCATCAGTATTATTGATCTGTCTCTTATGTATAATGCTGTCCCAAATTTTATGTGAGGCAACAGGAGGTCATGGACTTGACCAGCCAGGATGGACAGAGGTTCAACTCAATATTTGTAACCTGAAGCACCCCAGCACAGCCAGGACTCAATGAGGCACATCGAAACTCAAGCAGAGATGATTGTGTGTGCCTGTTCTCATAAGAAATTGCTTTGAAAGCAGATAGAGTTGGTTAAGAGGAGTAATTTTATCCACAAAGCAATATGAAAACTCCTCATAGCAACAACTTGACTACACAATAAAATGCAGGCCACCTACAACAGTTCCACTGTGCAATACTTTGTAGATTAAGGCAGAGACAAAATAATTCTTTACCTCCTGAACAGACACAGCAGAAGACGTTAAAAAATGTCTTGCATCTCAATCGGTTAGGCTTGGAACTGAATTTTAACTATGAATACTCTAACAGTTTCCTTTCTCATTTGTCTATTGCAAATCATCTGTAAATCACACTGACTCATGAGATGAAAGCTCTGGGGAAGGGGACATCTAGAGGTCACTGAGTTGATGTTTGTAGACAAAAAGGTCCACCCAGGATTTTGTTACATTATTCTATCAGCAAAGCAGCACACTCCCTCAGAGCCAGCTGGAAACTGGCAGGTCCCATTAACCACTTAAGCAGATTAATAAAGCAGATGCAGCACTGCCTTGACTGAATAATGGCACCCCAACCTCCAACCACAGGAGGCAATCTTATGGTAGATGTGTGATCAGTGTTCCATTTGGGGCTCCTATGCTGGAAAAGTAAAATTAGAACACAAGTGCACAAACTTTAAGAATAGAATATACTTCTTAAACGTCCATCAACTCGCATAATACTATGATCTTGAAAGCTTTAGAAGCAGGGAGAAGAGACAAAATCAGCCTATTTAAAAAAACATACAAAACTGTTCCAGGAAAAATTCTGTTAAAATCTGAACATATCTTTTGTTGAAGAACTTATTTAAAGGCAAATACATTATGCAATGTTTCCTTCTGTGCTACATAATTTCTTAAAACATTTTAGAGATTACTTAAATTAAGTGATATTGGATTTCTTTCACAATGTTAATAATTTCATACAAGAACCCCAATGTGACAAACTTTTTATTACCTCCCACAATGAACTACTACAGCAACAAGGTCGTACATTCGGTCAGGATTGGTGGCATCTCCCGAAGTGTTAAAAAGTCTAAGCTCTAAAGGAAACACTACTCTATAAGAGAGTTTTGTATATCGATGTAGCTGATCCATGTATTTAAATCTCTTCAGATGGAGAGCTAGAATCATAGGCAGTTTTTTTACTTTCATCCTGAAACAACAAAATGAAATATATCATATCTCGGATTCCAAGATTTCAAAATTGTCAGAAATGAAAAAAAAACAAAAACAACAAAAAAAAAAAACAGTCTTTTGAATACTATTAAAATACACTCAAGTATTAAAGATGCTCAGCTTGTCAGTTTCCTGAATTTTCTCTATTAAAACCACATGATCAGTGGTCTTTTCTTCAGCATGTCTTAATGCTGCAATACGTAAACAATAAAACAAGTTATGGACAACTGCAATAAGTTAAACATGGATATTAACCCTAAAAGAGAACTGCAAATGTGTGTGAAAAACAAGTTAAATAAAAGGTTGGGCGCCCTATGCCCCAAATAACGTAAGTAAAGGGGACATGCAGCACAGAAGTGAATCTAAATACACTTCCCCATATCCTTCCTGTTTAGGTCCCTAACAGCAAAACCCAACTCTCACTTTTTTGTGATACTTCTACACACAGACCAATTTGTTTTAGAACTACTGTGGAATCCAACTGGAACACATAGTTATCCTTAAGGTAGAAGGAGTCAAGTCAAATGTTTTCATTTTAAAATGTGGCTTATTTAAAATATATTATGTAAAACTTAGTTTTATATCTTTATATCTGCAAGGGACACAAATGTCAATATACCACTATTTAACTGATGTAACCCCACCCAAATAAGCCAACACTGTACTCCAGAGAGTGCCATGATAGCATGATCTGGCCGTTACTTTGGAGGACAAAAAACAAGGAAGCAGTAGATGAAAAATACAATCCTAGATTCACCAACGTGTTTAATACCCCATTACCCTGTTTGAGCCATTCAGGCCAGAATCTCACAAATAATCTGCAGTGACTACAAATCTTTATCAGCTGACCACAGAAAGCCTGGTGGTGAGCTATTACTTCTGCTTAATGTACAGTAAATGTACTCACTTAACTTGCCTCGCCTCATCCTCTCCCTCCCCACAAACATCCACTTGTCTATCTCATCCATCAACTGCATCTTGTCATAACCTATGCTATAAGCTCGTTAAGGTAGGAATTGTCTTTTTATTGCTTATTAGTAGGGCTCCGTGTCTGTCATGGAGGTTGCAGAAGTCACGGATTCCGTAACTTTCCACGACCTCTGTGACTTCTGCAGCGGCCAGTGTGGCTGACCCCGGGGGCCCCTCAAGCAGCTTGCCCCAGGGCCAGCTGCTCAGGAGACCCCAGGGACAGCCAGACCAGCCACTGTTGGAGCAGCTCCGCAGCCAGCCGCACCGGCTGCTACTGGAGTGGCCCCAGGGCCAGCCGCATTGGCCGCTGCTCAGGCAGTTCCAGGCTGCCAGCCCCAGGGACTGCCTGAACAGCGGCGGGTGCAGCCGGCCCCGGGGACCGCCTGAACAGCGGCGGGTGGGCAGCCCTGGGGGTGGCCGGAGCAGCCACTGATCGGCGGCCCCCGAGCAGTGGCTCCCTGCCCTGCAGCGGCTCCCTGCCCCATGGCCCCCCAGCTAAGATTTAGTCTGGAGTATTTACAGTACAAGTCATGGACAGGTCACGGGCCATTCATTTTTGTTTATTGCCAGTGACCTGTCCACGACTTTTACTAAAAATACCTATGACTAAATCATAGCCTTACTTATTAGTACAGCACCAGCACAATGAGTTGCGACCCTCAATTGGTGCCTCTTGACATTACTGCAATACAGATAAATCAATGCTGTGAATAGAAATAAAAAACAAAAGCTACCCAGGACTACAAAAAAAGTCATTCATTGCCTGTATGAACTTTTAGTTTGTACTGACTTTGCTAGTGCTTTTTATGTAGCCTGTTGTAAAACTAGGCATATATGTACCCCTAGTTGAGAACCACTGCACCACAATACTAAATTCCTGTTGTGCTAGCACTTAAATTTTTTTTTAAAGTACTGGAGAAACACGTAATGCTTTCTGCAACCCTACTCAGTGAACATTTTGAATTTGGCAAAAAAATAAAAGGAAAAAGGTCTGAATCACCTCTAAGTCTCTGATGGTAAATCAGAACATTAACAGAACAAAGCTAAATTAAAAAAAAAAATGCATGAATAGTTTAGGAAAACACTCCAAAAGATGTAAATCAGAGTAAGTAGTGTCTCCAAACTTCCATCATCAATGGTATCCTCCCCCAAGTGGAACATTCTACAGCAGCACCACAGCAACTAACATACCACTATGTAAAAGTTCAATTAATACAACACTACATAAAAGTACAACACAAGCTCAGTACAACAAAAAATATCCTGCCTCCTCCTCTTGTGAAAAGACATGAAGAGTCTCAGCTTTCCCTAAAATTCAGCCAATCACAAAATTCAAAAGCAGCACATGGATCAAAAATGAATTGTGTAATTTCAAACAACCTCAAAAGTTAATCTAGGGCAAAGATATGGAGAGTGGCGACTGTTGACGCTGACTTGATCTTGGAGGGTTCATAGTCTTTGGGCTTTGATTCCTTTGGTAAGCATGTTTAATGGAAATTATGAAAGCTGTAACAGCAAATAGGAGAGCACACATAATTGGGTTATTAAGCTGAAATCTAGTAGGCCCAAGAAATAATCCCAGGTATTAAATTCTGCACACTCATTCTGAAAAAAGAGACACAAATATCCACAAGTGGACAGCACACAGCAGTTGTGTAAGAATGGAGTTTGTGGGGAGGCTTTAGTGATCTAGCTGCTATGCAATAACTAGGTGGTTAAAATGTGTTTATGTATAGGAATGATTAAGAAATGTGTGATGCAGTTTAGTAATAGTAATAATTAGGGGCTTGGCTAGGGACACCCAAAAGGCCACATATGGATAATAGACTGGTATCAATCTTGTTATGGTCACAGAAGGTGGCCAATGTGGTTAGATATCCAACAGGTTACAAAAAGTGGGGTATAAAAGGCTCTGGTTCTGTGTTCCCCCTAAGCTGCGCGCTTGCATGGCCGCCCAGGAGCTGTTATGCTTAAACAAAGCACATGAGATTTTTTTTATAGGGGAGAAGGCAACATGCCGCATTTATTGAGAATACAGCAGTTAGCATATGCTTTTTAGTTACACACACACCATGCACAGTTTTGCCAGTTGATGTTTATATACCTCTACCCCGATATAACGCGGCCTGATATAACATGAATTCGGATATAACGCAGTAAAGCAGCACTCCGGGGGGGCAGGGCTGCTCACTCCGGCGGATCAAAGCAAGTTCGATATAACGCGGTTTCACCTATAACACGGTAAGATTTTTTTGGCTCCTGAGGACAGCGTTATATTGGGGTAGAGGTGTAGTTACCAATTTAGAGTTTGGATCAATCTAGTGGCCAGCCAGATTGGCCACAGAGGGAGCTGGGCTTTGTTGGTTGCGATTTGATGCTTTTGGAATAGTGGCAAGATGAACCCAAGGTTCCTTGACAAAGCACTTTGTTTTTATAGGGTTTTTTTGTTGTTGACATTTATGGATTTTGCTGTGTTAGTCTATGCCCAGTTACTTTTTAATTGGTGTCATTTTTTGATGTAAACATTTTAAAACATCTTTGAGAGGGTTATTTTGTTTTAGATTTGATTTAATTAATTCTTTTTAGGGGTGCTAGCCTTTGCCTTAAGGTTGTTAATTTGCCCTTTTTGAATTATGGATGCGTGTTAATGGTTTTTTGGCATTAATAAGTTTTGATAAGTGTTTTATTTTATCTTATTTTATTGACCATTTGGTTACTAACGGCCTCTACATTTTATTTTTTTGATGCATGCATTTTTTATTTATACAAACAGTTTTTTATAGAGACCTTTGAGAATACAAACAGCAGTATTTTATATTGAGCAAAAAGACATCGTAAATTAAACCTTGCAAAGTTTTATAACCAAAACAATTTACTTTGAGGCCCAGGCCTTTAACATTTTTTTAATTTACTTAACATAGACACAATACAGGATTCTGTCTTTTACTAACTAAACCTCAAAACAAAGAACTAAAAGGGCCCAATTTGTAATGCATATGGGAAACAGAATCCCATAGTCCCAGAGGGTTATTTCTTTTTGTTATTTAAAAAGGGTGGCTGGCAGGATGAAATCAAATTATACATTAATTTTTATAGTACAATTATAAAATTCTGCTCCTACAGAGCGACTCAAGTGCCGTGCACGTGATTAGCAGAGCTGCACACGGCGGCATGTGTTCAGGTGCCCCTCCCTCTGCTGCTCTGCAGCCATGTTGCACCTGCCCTCTGCCTTGGAGCCTCTGGCCAGCTGCTCCAGGGATCTTCCTGCTCCTGGGATCTTCCTGTGCAGAGTGGCGGGGGAGGGGAGCGCTGATGTCAGGGTGTCCCCCTATCCCCGCTTCCCCTCTGCCATGTACCCCATCTCTGCAGAGCGGGGGAGAGGGGACAGGGCTCAGGAGCAGGAGAGCTCAGCTGCTGCAGTCTGAGCCTTCTGGTGTGAATGCCTTAAAGAGACAGCACATGGTCTCTCAGACTGCCCCAGC